TTTCCAGCTATCTCAGTGCGAACACAAGCAACTGTCTTGTGTTTCTTCTGATTTTTGCTAGTTGTTGGCAATGTCCTTGTTTGCTGGAGACTGTGATGGTTTTCAGAGGACTGCCAAATAACTCCTGTTTTAACTGGCTTAGGATGTACTGGGCTGTTGATCGAGGAGCATGTCAAAAGCGAAGTAAAATCTTTCTGCATAAGCTGGGATTTCTCTTCTATAACTACTCCAACTATGTGCATACATATGTAATATACATATATTATATACACACATAGGAGAGGAATATTTGAAGAGATTCATTCTCTGGTAACGTTAACCTTTTCATTTTGTTAAGTTGCTGATGAAACGGGTAACTTCTGTGCTTTTCCAAAAGCAAGGCTGTAGAGGAAGTGAATTTACAGTGATATATTGGGAGTTCAAGGTGTCGCAACTGGAGGAGTTGCAGGTGAATTGGACGCAAATTGGGATCTTGCTAAAGCAAATACAGCTGCCCTGTTTGTGTGTGTTGAGTGGACAACTCAATCACTGCTGTTTGTGCGCAGAACCTGCCACTTGATTTTCAGGGTACAAGCACCAGACCTGGTCATCACCTCCTTGGCAGTCCTACAAGGTCACGTTGCTCTTTGTGGTGTTGCGTTCACCACTTCTGCAAACCATGAGTTTGCGTATGTCTGAGCAGACACCTTGCCCCTGTAGTGTTTGGCTATATTTTTAGGAAAATAAAGATGGGGTAGCAAAGGAGTCTTCCCCCAATGTGGACTAACACACTTAGTTTCAGCCTTGTGAACTGACCCCGATAGACTTATGTAATGTGAAGTCTCCTTGGAATCAGCTCCTGATTCGTATCCCACAACATACTAGTGAAAAATAACGTTCTGCTGGTTGCACTAAAACTTCAAGTTTTGTTTTTAAGCTGCTATGTTCATTTCAAACAAAATTCTTACACCTGGGGATTTTACTGTCAGAAAGGATAACTTGGCCTCCAGAAAAAGTTGCAGGTGACACTGTTGCAGCTATTACTTCAAACTGGTCAGGGGAAAATACCATTTAAAGGGTGATTCTTTCTGTGACTCGACAAATCACATCTTGGAAGTTGGTTTAAGTACTGCCCAAGTGCTCGAATTTGGAATAACTCATAACAGGGGCTTCAGCACCTGCATGGATGTGTAATACGCTTTATTCTTTGCCATGCCTCGGGTTACAACAGAGCGAGAAAGTTGTAAGCTGAGCCGGAGTAGTGTCTGATGCAATTATTGGATCATACAAGATATACATAAATGCCCAATTTAAAATATCTCTGTGTAGTTCTAGATCCTTTGATTACTCTTAAATCTACCAGTGCAGTGAAAATTATCCAAGCAAAAAATGTAGACAAATTTGAAACAGGGACAAAACAAGCTGCTGTTCAGTAGTAAATCTAGACTTACGTTAGCCTTGAAACTCCTCCGCAGCAGCTCCTGCAAGGGACAAAATGTTTTATCTTTCAAAGGCAACGGCTCTGATGTTATCTTGCTCACAGGGCGGCTTTGAACTCTGACATTTCTTCTGGCTTCCACATTCATCCCTATTCCTAGCTCCATGCTGCAAGAGAACTCAATTCAAATTTGCAGAGCCTCTTTTGTCACCGCTATTCAACCTTTACCTTGAGGCTTTCTTTTCTTGTATGAAAGTGGTTTTTATGAAGTCTGCTCCATTGAATTTCATAATCATTGCTGAAAGAGGGGGAAAAAAAGAAGCCGGTTTTGATAGCTTTATCTCTGCAACAGGGAGCATGTTGCAACAGAAGGGACCTGATGGACGTGGATTCAAATGTTTTAAAAATTGTTGTTGGTCAAGAGGCACTGTGTGTGTGAAATGATCGAGGTGCATGCTGGAGGTGATGCTCTAACCTGTCACAGGTCAAAGCTTGGTTTTTAACTCATCATTGATTTTAACTGAGCCTAAGTTCCGACCTTTTTTCCTCTTAAGCTAACTAATGGGTGAATAAAAATGTGAGTTTATGCATTTGCTGAGGTGAAATGCAGGAGTTAAGATCATCTTATGGGTGTCACATCCCCTCAGATCTTCTCCCTGTAACCCAGATTGCTATTGCTTCTTGTCTTTGGAGAATTGGCCTTTGCAAGAAGACAAATCTTCTTGTCTTCAGAGAATTGGCCTTTGCAAGAAGACAAATATTTTCTTCCACTCCTTGTTTTTCAGTGCTGTTGCTGATGTTTGTTTGCTGCATTTAGGAATCTGTGAAACTAAAAGCCTTAAAACCTATCAAGATTCCTTTCTAGAAATGCACAGGATCTCAGGGTGATGTGATATTTCAGGTGAAGGGAAGAAGAAAAGAGACCCTCTGAGAGGATACATGTTTAGAAGATAAAAAAGTCGGCTAGCTACGAAGCAAGCAGATCAGTTAGTGCTTGAAGGTCTTTTAAAGATGAAAATTATTAATTATTGCATTATATCCAAATTGGCTATATTGGAATATATTGATCTATAATTGGAAGTTATTGGATTATATCCAAATTTTTTTTATTGGAATGTTCTTAAAGATTGCAGAGCTTTTGCCCTCTGTTTGTAAGGAGTTTTTGGTCATCCCAGTTAGTGTTTGCCTTCCTCCTCCCAGTTGTATCAAGGCAGGCACTAGCTGAGCTCCTGCTGGACTGTGTGTGGCTGAACAGGGCAGTGGCTAATGGCTGGATTAGTCTCTCTGTAGTTCACAGTAATTAAAAGGTGTCAAGCTAACAAGAAAAAGAATTACCTGTGCTTAGTGAGAGGAAATTATTGAAACAGTTCCAAAAGATAAAGCACCTGTAAAATTAGATGGAAAACTAAGAAGAATTGATTTTAACTGTGCTAATTAGTTTTCATTTTCCAACCTGTTTACTCTGGCAAATGCAAGGGTGCTTTTACAGCCCCTGTTTATCCCAGATCCCTGCATGGTCCAGGGGGTTTCCGTGGGGACCTCACCCCAGCATAGAAGACGCTGACGAGGACTGGGCACCTGATGACAACTCCTGCATTGGTGAGAGACATGGTGCACAGTCTGGTGCTTCTGCAGGCTCTGAAAAGCACTGAGCCCTAAAACTCTCCCAGAAAAAGGTTTCTTTTGAATGTGGGGAGTCGTTGAGTTTCACTGGTTCCTGTGGAATCTAGGGCTGGGCAGGAAGGAACCTTATCTTCCAGCTAGGGAATATTGTTGCAGAAGCCAAATTCTGCTTGCAGGGCTGCATAGCTCCCAGCTGGTACCCACAATATTGTCTCCACCTCAACAGCAGGTTTCAGTCCACAGTGAGTGTCATACTAGTTGTCGGTGTGAAAGTGCATCTGAAAAAAGTGACAGGAGACAGCGGTGGCCTTTTATACAAAAGGATAAATAGAGCATTTTATTAACACTTTGCAGCAACGAAAGTGACACGGTCCACATCTTTTTCATTAAACAGAGCAAAAGCTATGGTCACATTTTACATCACTTTGAGGCACAAAGCAAAATATTTTTTCTTAAGGTCAAGGTATGATTTGCATTTTAAAAAAAAAGAAAAGGAGAAGAAACAATCCTCAAGTTGTATATTGCGGTAGCAGGGTTTCCAATCACTAGCACAATACAATGAACAGACCAAGAATCCAGAATGGATTATTACATACAATAATAATCATTTGTTTGAGTTAAGAAATGGATCGTCGTTGTCGTTTTAGAGTATTAAGAAGTGGTCTGGCGTTGCAAACTTCAGTTTGGCTTGGTGTAATCCCAGCAACCCCAAGTATATACAACAATCTAAATGAAGGTTAATATATAGACTAGAAGGTTATGCACTTTGTAATGCATTGCACTTATTGCTTGGTACACTAATGTTGCAGTCACTGTTGAGTTCTGCTGAAAACACAAGCGTGATGCTTGTTGGCTTCTTTCAACTCAACACTAGTTTTTTGCCACTTTGGTTTCTTGTGAACTTATATGTTTTTCATATTTAGTGTCCATTAGTATTAGGTTAAATCCAAAGACAAATATTTTATTTCAGGGATTTCTAAAATATCAACATTTTCTTATAATTACAGTCTCTTCAATAAACTTATATCTATGTATACAACTGTGGCACAATGTGTAAAAATATGAAAGCTATTAAGGGAATAATAAGGGTTAAATTACTCTGTTTTGTCTATTGGCTTCAAAATATTCTGCAAAACAAATACATCCTTTTCTTAGGGCTACGTGCGCGTAGTAAACTTCTCTTTGGATTTTGTATAAGACTATATCTTTTTCTAGGTTATATTTTTTCTCTCTCTCTAAAGATACCAGTACAAAGTTGGAACATACTGCAAAGAAAAGAGTAATAAAGCTTGTTCTTGGCAAAGAGATTTGACAGTCTGTGTGAAAAGTCAGACTTAACATTACATATTATTTTTTATACTACTTGCTTAACGCAGGGAAGAACATGATAAAGCCTAGAATTTCATAAGATCTGTAAGGAATAGAAATAAGCGTTTGTGCCCAAACATTCAATATAAAACTTCTAAATAATTCCTTTATTCATCACAGAGTAGCCTGCAGCATGTAATCACGATAAACATACACTATGTCCTATTTGTTCTTTTAGGCTTGATACAATCGCCGTGAAGGCAACTGGATCAGTCCCTCCTAAATGCCTAGGACTTGACCTTTCCTCTTTAAGAAAGCTCTCGTCGGAGGCCAAACACACAATCCCTACATTGCACTGAGTAAACATGTGTATTTAACACAATCTCTTTCAATACAGTGTAACAAATATATAAGTGCATTTTTAATGATCAAGTAATTTTGGCTTTCTAAAAAGAGTATTAGATGTGCCAACTTAGTTGCTTAGTTGTGCTTTAATCCTTAGTTATGAGTTTCAGCTCATGTATACTGTAAGTATCTAGTTGCCTCTATAGTTTTGACCAGTAAACCCTTAAAACTCTAATGTTTATAGAACAAATATAACCTAATGAATGTGATGACATGTCACAACTCATACAGATTGCACTTCAATGGATTTTTTTTACAGTAAGACCTTCCTGTCTGATATGTGTTTACATGTTTATACCACATTTTATTCCTGTGTGCAAACAATCACAATGAATTTAATCACAAACACTACAAAATATGCCCAATATTTAGGTCTGTTATGAATAATCTCCTTCCTTGTAGTTGTATGAGTCTCGTACTTCCTCTTGTACAAATTCCTCTTTTTTCTCCCAGCCATTGGGCCAGCCCCCGTTGACCTGGGTTGTAGCACCGTAAGACTTGGCGGTACCATAATTGACGTAATTCTGGGTAATGTCCCCTGTCTCTTCATCAAGTTCATCTTCATGAATAAAGCCACATTTCTCTTCGCTTGTCTGCTCGGGGTCTGCCCAGGGTTGCTTCTCTCCTGAAGCAAATATGCCGTAGAATATAACGCCTCCGTAATGAACTAAAGCAGCAATAAGGAAGACATACTGCCACTCTTCACGGGTCTGTAAAACAGAAATTTGTGCCATCAGACCACACCATAGACTGCTCTGACTGTGCTGAGCTTGGAGATTTAAAGCAAGTTCTCGTGGTCAGCACAGCCTAAAACATTTAAAGGTCCGATTTCCAGTTACTTATCCTTTGAAAAAATCACTGTTTAAGGGTTAATATAACTTCAGTGTAATCCTGTTTCTTATTCATTAGTCTGCAAAAGCATTGCTGTGCTCAGGATACAGTGCAACATGCTTCAAATTTACAAGTTCTGGATGCTATTGCTTAGAGGTCCCCAGACCTTAATCCAGCCACAGTTTCTGGCAGGTTGTTTAATGGGAAGGTCTATTTCTTGTTACTAATAGTATTAAACTGAAAAATTTGAAAGCTGTGTTGCAGTTTACCTTGTTCTTTGTCATTGCTCCAACAATTATAGGGCAAACCATTCCAGACAAGGTCCCGACTCCATTAGAAATCCCCATTAAGATGCTGGCGTACCTTGGGGCAATGTCTAAATGGTTGACATTGAATCCTGCAATACAAATGTCAGCAAACGTTCATACTGCAAGCCCACAACTGGCAATTTTATTGGGACGTATTGGGGCTGTCTGGTTGGATTTGTTTTTCTCTAAAAAGCTTGAAATGCTCAAGTAATCTTAGAGCACCTCTGGCTTTTCATTTTCTTTAAAAAATGCATTGTAAATTGATACAGAGTATGTTTTCTTCCCAAATTTTCTTTTGTTTTTCGTTTTTTAAATCACAACTACAATTGCGTAGGGTTGCGAACCCGGAAGATGCATAGGCAGAGGTAAGTTTCAGATTTCCCCAGTGTCAGTGATGACCTTTTTAAGGTGCAAGTAGCACACTGAAATGCAGAGTTGCTTCCTCTTCCAGCTTGCGCCACTTTTGTTGCTTATTGTCCTTATTTTTCTTTTTGTCACACAGATTGGTAGAAGGAACTTGCTGTTCTTATGGGGGAAGGGAGGATGAAGGGATTCACCCGTCATTTATTAGTTCTTATATTTATGAGTGATTTAATAATGTTTTTTTTAAAAAAAAATCCTTGTTTCTTTGCCTTTCCAACAACTTAACTTTCTTCACATTCACTCGATCATTATTCAAATAATCTTAAAAACTCTGCCACTATGAAGCAGCAGAACCCATCATCCCCAAAATAAGCAGTTAAGCGCAAGCAGGCAACAAATCTTTGTATGCTGAAAGATAACAAATGGGAAAAGACAGGTGATAGGATATGGATAACTCTTCAATAAAGTACAGTGCACTTTGGAAGTGCTACAGAAAAGTCCTGCTAAGTCCAGATTTGTTTAGGAGGGTTTAGGTGTTTGGCATAAAAGGAAAAAGAGGCTGTTTTAGCCATAAGGAACCAGCATGGAAGAGGATGCTAAGATCACAGTGGGAAAACAAACAAGGGCCAGGTGGCTTGGGTTTTGGAAAGGGAAAAGGAAGGCTTTGTCAGCAGGAGAGGGGAATAGCTGACTTTTAAATTTACAAAAGCTAGTTATTGGGTTGCAAAATAGTAAAAAAGGCAAGGCAAACAAAAGAGCAACCCATACACAGCAGAAAAATGATGGGATCTATGTCTGTATTTATTGATTTAAACTATTAATTCATTTGTATTATACATTTATACATTTAATTTTAAGAGAAATCTATGGTATACATTAGCATATCACTGAAAAAAAGTCATTTTCTTCAGTGAAGAAAAAAAGTATAAAAAAAGTATTTGATCAAAAATAATGTAATACAGAAGATATATCTATTTCTCTTTGATTTTGAATGATCCTGAGCAAAATCATTTAGAATTCTGATTTTATGTTAAATTACTGTTAAGAAATATGAAACAAATGAGAAGTTTCTTCTCTTAAAATACTTTACTAATAACAGCAATATAATCTTACCAGATATGGCGAATCCACTAAAGCCTACAGCAAGCACTAAGAATGAAATAGCCACTCCTTTACTATGAGAATATCCCACCACCAGAAGGAGAGTTGCTTCCATACCAAAACCTTGGGAAATCATAAAGAAAACTGGATGTCAGATTTAATTATCTCTTAAAAATTGCAAGTATTTGGGTACCACGTTTCATAAGAGGGCAGAGTGACAACCTATTTCCTCAGGGTGAAATAAAGTCAGGCAGTTCTCTCGTCCCTAAACCCCCACAGGTTCTTATATTTCCTTGTAAGCTGACTTATAGTTCCCTCCTGTCAGGCTGAAGGTAAAATAGAGAGTTGTGATTAGGTTATCCAGGTAGTTCCCATAGATCCCAGTGGGAATATACGCTTGTCCTGCTTATGCATTTTGAAGTTGCCATCGCAGCTGAGTTTCAGCTTGTGTAACTTTAGAGTCCTAGCACTTAGATAGCCCCCAAAACTAGTTGTTAGTAGATCTCTTGGGGCAGGTGAAGTTTGCAAGAGTGCCTAAGGCTCAATAAGTAGCTAAGGGTAAAAAAAAAATTACACCCAAAAAACTCATCTGCTGCTTCAAGTGCCTAAGTGCCTTTTGAAATACCCAAGTATTGACTTTGGGAGTAGGAACACCTGAATTTCCTCTTGTTTAGTAACCGTCTCTGTAATACCCAAGAATTACTCCATGCAAAGTGTTATTAAGTACAGAAAGCCATGCATTTTTTTTTCTGTGTGTCCACGATGCTATGTGGACACTGAACCTATACAAGACACTCTGCTCATAAAACAGGCAAACTTACCTCCACAGTTCATGATCTTCCTCACGGTAGTGGTGGAAAGAATCTGTTTGCTTCTTAAAAAGTCAGCAATTTGTCCCCCAATAGGCACAATAATTGTCATCACTAAATGTGGCACAGCAGATAAGATGCCCACCTAAAAGGGTAGTTAGAAATCACAGGGTAGAAACTGTAAAAATATACCAACTTGATCAAATGTGGGGTTTTTTTTTTTTTTTGGACTGCCTGCTAGCTCCCTTAAACTTCCTTTTGAGCCACTTTTTGCTCCGGGGGTCTGCATTTTGGTCGGCGATGTGTTGGGTAGAGCTTTCCCCAGTGAGACTAACATGCCCAGAGGTTTGAGGCCTCTGAGAGGTTGCCCATGGCCCGGCGTCGCTTGTGCAACAGCCCTTTGCCTTAGATTTGATTGAATTGTTGAGCTTTTCCGCTTCAACGCAGTACTATATGCATAAAAACATCCTAAAACCAAAGCAACTGCTCTTTGAAGCTGAGGGTATTTCTGGGAGAGGTCCAAACCTGATCCCCTTTGCAGAAGTCATTTATTTCATGCGATAGAATAGACTTAGGCACAGATCTGATCTGAAGGCTGGAATTCCAGGACTTGTATTTCCAGACCACCTCTAAATACAGAACATTATTATGTAATTGTGAGAATATCCCTACACTGTTTTTTTTTTTTTAAGCTACTTATAAAATTCTCATTGTTGCTTACAGCAAATTTTAGGGTCATTTAGTACCTCATAGGACAATATCAAAAGATTATAGGTTTTTCAAAAGCACCTTAGCAAAAGGGAGATTATATTTGGGGAAAGCTTAATAAACACCCTTGAGGTTTGTTTGCATCTGTCCGTATTCACCTCAGGGCCTGGTCCAAAATTCTTGTCAACCGCGTGGAACTTTGGATCATCCCTAGCTTTCATATTTTGCTGCCATCTGTTTCACTTTCCAAGTAACTGATGGGATAAGATTTAAGACTTGTAAATCTATAGTAAAGATACAGAACACTTATCTTTCTTTCTCCTGATAAAGACTACAAACATGCCTGACATTTACTTTTCTGAGGTCAAAGTTTTATGCTATTCTTACATACCTTGCTTATTTCAAATCCAAACACTTCCTCAAAGTATGCAGGCTGGCTGATAAGTAACAGGTAAAAAGTCCAGCTCCTACAGAAGTTTGCAACAATTATTGCATAGACTGGCATAGATGTAAAAAATTTTCTCCATGGAGTCTTGTATTTCTGAAATATAAACAGGGGCATCTGATTAATGTTTTGATCACTATTGACTATATATCCTCTCTTTTTCTATTCTGAGCGTGTTAACAAGTGCTGCCAGCTTAATCCCATTCAGTCATACGTGGTTATGAATGTGCATAGTCCAAAGTCATGTCTCTTTAAAGCAGACTGGTGCTGTAGCTAAGGCAACAGGCAGATTTTACTGTATAAGCACACGATATCATCCAGGTTTATTTTCAGCATATATTTTAGTATCTAAATTCCAGTGCTGCCCTCTCAATAATTTTTCTTGCCAAGTCTCAGCTGAAGCAGTTTGGTCAGTGTATTTCTGGTTGGGTTTATTGTCTATCTGAAACGAATGGCATAATAACAGAACCAAAAAAAAAAAAAAAAAAAAGAAGGATAGCAGATGGGCAGAGCTACAATCCTGCTGCGTCCCTGCACCTCTCCACAAAACCCATCTCCGTTGAGCCAAGTGCACAATCCAGCCCCAGGGGAGGATTTGAAAATTGCTTCAGCAATGTTGGGGCGCATGTTGGTCCCCAATGCCTTGAATATTGGCTTGTCTTCAAGGAAACCCAGCCCAGTGAGCAGGAATTTCAGTGCCTTTTAAATTGCATTGAAAAGAGAGTTAGAGATTGAACAAGATTCAATTACTGAGAAGCCAGACAGAAAAGCCGACTCGATGCTTTGTGATGAATTTCAGCCTGAGTATTTCGATAGTATTTCAGTAATTATTAATACAAACTATTTGCTTCCAACAATTTTAAATTAAGGAGCACCAAAAAATATTAAACAAAAAACGACCAACCCAAGCTAGAATTTACCACTTTTGGAATATCTTATTTTACATGAGATTTTCAAAAGCATTTAAAGCTGCAAGAAACTATAAACACTGATGAGTACTCTTATGTCTCAGTCCGGATGCTAGCTGAGGAATACCTAGAAATGTCTGTTGTTCTTGAAGTGACTCTGCTAAGCTTAAGCATTTCCAGTTTTGTACTTTTGTACAACTTTTTGTTAAGAAGTAATTAGTTCATCAGACTGGTTTCTAGCATAGTTTTAGTCTGGACCTCCCATCGTTCCCACAGGCAATTGCTGGTTCACAAGTTAGTAGAAAACAGAAGCCATTTACAGTGGGATGTTTACGTGCAGCCACCCTCTCTCGGTTGCTAAAAGAATTTAATATTCTGGTAACAAACCACTGCCTGCCTCCTCCTTACAGCACACTGCGTGTATGTGATCCATACTGATAGGTGTGAGGTTCTGCTGTGACTGTTCCTCTGAGTTTGCAAGGTAGATGGAGTGAGAGCACTGGATTTGGGGGGAAAAATACTATCAAATTTGTCAAAACTCTTTGTTAAGTTTTGGCAGAGAGTTGAATGCACTCGATCTATATTAAATGAGAGGCAGCGATTCCCTATTTCCCTTGAATTTGAGTAAGGACAGACACGTTGATCGCAGCCTAATGTGTCTAGTTGACTATACAAGCGTTGGGCTGGAGGTAGAAGCAACGAAGATGACTTGAGAAGGCAGTGAAAGGAAGGTTAAAGACAGCTCATGGAATAGAAAAGTTGATATGATTTTCTCACTTGCTTGAAAACAGTTTCCCACAGCCCTTCCATGACTGATCCTCTGGAAGTACTGGAACCTCTATTCTTTTTACCAGAAGCAAGATCTACCTTTCTTACACGAAATAAGCAGGAGTGTGATGTTCTTACCTCCATTGCACCTAGGAGGTTGGCACTCTCTCCAATGCTTTCTTCTATGTATCTCCTTTCTTCATCTGTGATCGTAGGGTGCGACGCGGGGCTTTCATAGGAAACCAAAAGCCAAAACATGTACCAGACTATACCAAAGCTCCCTTTGGAATGGAAAGAAAGACTTTGAAAAGAAATGCACACTAGAGCAGCAAACAAGGGAAAAAAAAATCTGTGGCTGATTCATACATTTAAATTTAAATTCCTTTTTCCTAGGTTGCATTTTTAGCTTCAAATGCCTTAATAGTAGGTTTTTAAGGGGGTGGAGTAGGGTCATGCGACCCTGGAGTGAGGGGAGCCGAAGCGCCGTACCGTACACGTAGAAGACAGATGACCACCCAGTGTATTGCACCAAAATTCCTGCTAAAGGCATCGCGATGACAGCTCCTGCATAGGAACCTGCAAGCGAGACGGCAGAGCGGTCAGTCTCCAAGCGCTTTGGCGGTGCCAGCGGCAGCGAGACGACGGCAGGAGGGCGCTCACCGCAAAAGGAGGTGGTCGCGAGCCGGCTTCTTTCCAGCGGAGGGGCCCACTTGCTCCAGATGCCGTGGCAGGCAGGGTAGGTGACCCCCTGGGGAAGGGCCATGGCACACGTTAGTCAATGCTGATCCATCAGGCAATGCATCACCTTTGTACCAACATCTACTTTGAAGCTATTGCGTGCATAAAACATAAAGACATTTCACACTTCTATAGCACAGCAATAGCAAAACTCCAATTCCTATAAACCTGGATTTCTTTCTTGCATCATATATACATCAATGAATTCTGAATCCTTAAAGAAGCCTTATGGAACAGGTGGAAAACATCATTATTCCCTTTTCTTCCCGCTTTTTCAGGGAAGAATTGTGAGAATGCAGAAAAGAAAGAATCGTAACGCACAAGTATCAAGGTCAAAGACAGGATCAAAACAGAGAATCTCAGGAGTCTTTCAAATGCTGGGCTCATTTCTTCAGCCCTCAGTAAATAATCTTGAGTCTTGATGACTTTTAAACATTTGAACTGCAGTATGTGCAATACATCCATATATGCATATATGAATATTTTTTCCATTGCTCTAAAATAAGGAAATAAAATCAAGATGAGCTTAAAAATATAAGGTTCTAGGAGAAGTTTTCCTCTATTTCTAATTAACCTTTCTGAGCACCTAAGGCAAAGAATTGGATGTTAATTGTTGAAATTTTAAACCAGTTATGTTTTGGTATCCCTTCAAAAGCAGCTTTCATTTTAAAGGGTAAATAAAGGTAAGATAAAGAAACACCTTGCAGCCTGGAAACCTTAGAAAATGTAATATGAAACCTAGAGTCATTTTTTACAGAATTCATACTTTATTATTATGAAGTCTGCATGGTTGTATAAAAACCACTCTTTGCTTAATTTTGCTGGCTAAGTTTTGATTCTTGTTTAAATCACAAAAACCCTACTTTTTGCAAATGCCAAGAGTGTTTTTGTTTGTTTGTTTTGCAAAAGCTCGCACATCCTTATCACGTTTATTGACCATTTCCTATATTGCCCATACCTCTACGAGGCCCTGCAAGATCCTCACAAAGATGACGCATCCGTAGTGCACCCTGGCCGCAGATGGGATTAACATGTTGAGGGAGGATGTCAGCAGTATGGCAGCGCCAAACACCCTGCAAAGGTGGGGGAAAAGGAAGGGAAACAGCTTCAGGATTGTTCCAACTGACTTTTTCCACGTATATTCTCATTTATATATATATATGCATGTTCTTTTTGTAGGAATACACTAACCACCGGAAGGGGTTAGTGTCTACTTTCATGTAGTGTAATGAGACTCAGACCAAACAGGGGAATATGCATTTATTTAGCAGGTTCCTAAGGAAAGAAATTTTATGCCATCACAGACCTATATTGGACTATGCCTTTATATACACACTCTTTTGTTTAGTTAATTTTCTAATCTGTTGTCCATTTTGAAATCTGATCGAGTTCTCCACAGAAATTAGAAACTGGATCCCTAAATGTCTTGACAGAATAAGTGTCTGAGTGCAAGGGAGTCATATTAGTGTTTTAATTGTAAAAAAGTGGTAACGTGCACTCACTTCTTACAAAACAGTAAAGAATCCGCTTTTATACGTGCCAAAAGAACGGAATTTTTTTAAAACAGTGCTATATTTTCTTAGACGCATGAGTCAATTAATCTGGAAATGTGTATTCATAGAAAACGAATCGTTCTTCTGCCTTTTCGGGGCTACTTGTTGAGTATTTTTCAGTTTGACTCCCCAGCATCCTGGGGAGTGCTCTGAATAGAGCATGTTTGATGATCTAAAGAAATATGTGAAACAGTCATTCATTTTCCAAATTCCGATGTTTTGATTAAATTCTGCATTTGATTTAATAAATTTCTGCCCCTTGCAGGAGGAAGCCTTTTCTCTGGCATTATTATGTATTTTTTCCTCATGAGTTTATTCCAAAATTGCAAAATAATCTGATTTTCTTTTTTCCTTTTGATGAAGCTAGGCAGCATGTTTTTAAGTTCTCCATTCCCAGAAGCTGCGCAAGGGCAGGGACCTGGTAGCAATGCCTGGCCACTTTCTTTATATGAAACTATGTTATGCTAGGATAAATCTTGATGACTTCTTGACATGTGACATCAGGATTTCTGATGCGGAACCGACTTGACAGAAACCTTCAACCTTAGCATGTGTTTTTTAGAAATTGGTACAGTGCCATAAGTTAGTGGGAAACAGACCTTAGGCTTAAGAGACAGAAAGCAGTGATTAATTTCAGAAAGAAACTTCCTCCCCAGTATCTCTGTTTCACATTATGCATTTAAAACGGCAGCCCGGCACAAATCCTTAAACAGTAAATAAAACAGAGTCTACTTCCAAAGTTCTCCATCTGCTCCCTTTCTCGGGCTTCCCTGTGCTCCCCATCCCCTACTAGATAAGGTCCATGCCCTTTAAAAACACTTTTTTTTTTTAATAATAAGATGTTCCTTTTTGTGAATTTCTGAAGAGCAGCTGAATTTCTGAAAGCTGTAACTGTTCCAAATCAAAATTCGACTGTAAAATCCTTCTTTGTTCATGAACAGGAACAAAGGAGTATTTGTAGCTTTGTAGGTTTTTGTCTCTTAATAGCTTTTAGCTACGTGACTTAGGCAACAGTGTGTTTTTAATTTTGCGATTGGCATCAATTTGCTTGACCAGATTCTTAACTAGTGTGAATCAGTGCAGCTCTAAATCACTATTCCTGTTAAAATTATGCTATTATGGAGAGAATATTAGAAATTGCCGTTTTATAGGGATGAGATTTACAAAACTATTTGCGATACGTTAATTGTTTCTTCAAGGAGTTTTACTCATCTCTCAATGCTATATCTGAAATGAGATTCTTTTTGCCAGAGCTGAAGGTTGTATTTCTCAGAATAGCTTCTGTTCTTGTATTCATCAAAGAGAAGCTATTTCCTTAAACCCGTCTCTTCGAGAAGAGAAAGGAAAATGTAATTTTAAGAACCATTGCAGGCACACATCCTACAAAGGGAAATCCTGGCTGTTTTTAGACACACATATGTATTTACACACAATAAATATTTAGTTACATTAAGTACTAGGCGATTAAATAATTCCACAGTGTCACTTATGTGTCACTCGTGTGTCACTTGTATATCAGTTCTTTCTCAGAGCTATGTTTTATTGAGTCCAACATTATCAAAATCAAATAGGTTAAGATTTTTATTCAAAGGTATATGGGTTTAAGGGTAGAATAGAGTAAAGGTAAATTATGATTCTTGTCAGAAATGGCATTTTTATCCTTTTTTTTTTGCATGCAAATTAAAAACAGCACAAATATTTTAGTGCATCGCTATTTGAAACTCTCACTTTGGAGTAAATACATCTCCCTTCATTTCCTCTGCATCTCTCAGTGCACAGCCACGCATAAGCAGATCACTGATTTATGAGTTTTATCATAAGTTTTTCTCTTCAGTGCTCTTTTTTTACTTGCTGCCGTTATCTTTTCTCTACAAATACTAAAATATTCCTAGCAGAGTGCTGTGAGTTTGTTTTGCTTCTGAAAATATCCTTATTTGCTCCGCTTAGATACAGCATTAACCCCAAACATGGGTTAGAAAGCATAACTGCAGTAGTTCTAGGAATATTTTCCTCCACTTAAATATTTACCCAGTTATTCATCTGCATAAATCTGATTAAAAGATGTGATAAACTGTATGTCTGTTAAAACCATATTTTTCTTCAAGATCCTTGTATTTTGGTAGCAAATTGACAGTATGTTAGGTTCCACAGTTGCATTGATTTGCAGTTGAAAATGGATTCATTTCATTTGGGGACAAACATGGTTCACATATTTAAAATAAGCTTTTTGGCCTGGATGGGGCTGGTTGTTCCTGTCCCACTCTGCACCACATTTTTTATGCATCTGTCTGTGTGTCCTGCTCTTGTCCTGAGGCCATCGCGATGCCTGACTTTTGGTGCATTTCCTTAGTCATCCCCTATTTTATTATAAGGGACTCACTGTACCAAGCCCCCCAAAATAAGATGAAGCCCAACGGAAGACTGCCATGGAGCTGTGCAGGCTGATTTTTGCTGCAGGAACATGAACAGGTTTCATGTTGGTCACACTCCAAAACCAAGTAAAATGCATCTTGGTGCCATGTGACAAATTTAAGAGCTTTAGCAGGTAGAAGGTAAACTCCAAGAAAACTAGAATATACTACAAGCAAAAGCAGGAGAAGCTGAGAGCATTTCCATCATTCTCAGCCCTGACATTAAGAGGGGATTAAAATGACCTGATATCTCTTCAGCAGTCCCTACATTTAAGAGAAAAAGTCCTTTCTGACCTCAATCAGCAAGCAGTGCAACCATCTACAGAAGAAGATAACCATATGTAGAAGAAAATAAATACATAGAAATAAAAGTAGTATGTCAAGGAGGGGAAAAAATAATAAGTCCTGGCCCTCAGAAATGAGCAGAGGAAGCCTTGAAACAAAGAATTACACTTTGCTTGTCTGCCTCTGTGAGTAGACTCAGTAGATTCGGTCCCTGAAGAGTAAACCTAACACTATTCTTCAGTGCTTTACTGACGTTGGCATTATGTGAAGGTCATGAGCTGTGACTTGCTCCTTCTGTAGTACAAGTAGCGTTAATAGCAAAATCATATTTGACTAAGAGACATTTGGGGTGGGAGCAGAGGAAGGAGATGACTCTGACAGTTCAGGAAAGAGGGTGAGAAGGGAAGAAGTTGCAGGAGAAAATGATCTTTTTCAGTCCAGTTAGCTGTTTTCTATGTTTGAGGGAACAACTGAAGAAAAACAAATGTATTTATTAAAATGAGGAGCCCAGGATGGCAGCATTCTTTTACCTCAAGAAATGGGGGTGACATTTGCTCCCATTGCAATGACTCCAGAAAGCTAAATCCTCTTGCCCAGGTGTATGGATAAGAGTCAGCTGTTAAAAGCCAATATATTTCTAACAACATCTGTTTTTAATATGATTGGCAAATGCTATGATTAACTATGTCTCCTTGTTCGTTGAATAAAGTGATCACATTTTATGACAAACAAGCCAAAGAGTATGGCAAAAAGGGTGCCCTGTGTAAAAAAAAATCAGAAGAGCAACTCACTGTGTTCAAAATAGAATTTTTAGATATTTATTTCAAAGGAAAAATTCTTTAGATTTAAGATGCTTGAATGTATGCTTTATAAATGAAGTATGAATGATGCTCCATTAAAATCCAAAAAATGAAAAATAGGAACTACTAGTAGGTCACTGAGGAACACAAGATAAGTTTCCAACTATTTTTCAGGGATTGCGTTGAAGACTAGGTTGGCATGGAAGATTTCACTTGACTCTTCATGGTAATCTAAATAAGGTTTTACTGGGTTCGAAAGGAAATTCATGCAAGACTGAATCGTTTTAGCCTTTGAGAAGTCACCAATCGTCGTTTCAGTTAAATGACCTATGTATTGAATCATCAAGTTTGATTATTTTAATTTCCTAGGGAAATTAAAGAAGAAAGAATTTCACATTGCTGCTATAAATTAAATCAAAATATCATAGGGAGATTTGCTCTGACTGTGAACAGGAACCTATAAGCAATAGAACCCACATACATTTCTGGCCTGTATATTTGCTTGATTTTGCAGTAATACTAATCACATTATAAAGGACTTTATTTTCATGGAGTAGAGAATTTATAGTGAATATTTTATTTAAAATATTACCTTCTGTCTTTTAATGAAACCTCTAGACATTTTTTAGCCATTCAATTAGTTGTTTTTGCCACCCCATGACTCCTTGCTTGCAGAGGCCTCCACAAGTCAGTGCTGACCTCGTGGACATATTCGTATGGATTTGGGAAGCAAAAACATTTAATGACTCTTCACTGGCACGAATGTTTTCACACTTGTTCTTTCCCTCATATGGTGGTAAATGAGCAGGAATCATAGCTATAGGAAGCACTGCGTAAAAACTGAACCCAGGGCCTCCTTCATCTGGCCTCCCCTCTTCCCATTTACTTGATCACCCTCTGGACCCTCTCTGGCTGGAATTTCAAACCAGTGGTTTCCTTTTACAACTCATTATTTCCACTTATGCCCAGCTAAAGCTCTGCCTCCTTCTCCCTAGCTCATCAGCTTTGGGTTGGCTTGCTCTTG